GGGTCTTGTTTTTTTTACCCAATTGGGTATTTGATTGGAGCATTTAGTCCATTGACATTTAAAGTAGCTCTTGATAAAAATGTATTTATTGCTATTTTGTTATTTTTTCTGGGTGTTTTAGTAGTTCTTCTCTATTCCTTTCTTCTTCTCTTGCTTTCTGCCCCTGTGGTTTAATGGCTTTCTTTAGTAATACATTTGGTTTCTTTCCTCTTACTTATTTGTTTATTTATTATGGCTTTCTGGTTTTTTGATTACCATGAGGTTCATATATAATAACCTACATATATAGCAATCTATAATGAGTTGATAATCTCTTTAGTTAGACCTCTTTCTAAAAGCTCTACTCTTTTACTCCCCTCCTCCCACATTTTATGGTTTTGAAATCATATCTAATCTCTTATTTTGTACATCTATCCATTGCCTTCTTATCATTGACATAGGTAATTTTAGTACTTTTGTCTTTTAACCTTCATATTATCTTCACAGGTGGTTGATTTGCTACCTTTACAGTATTTTTGCCTTTTCCAGTGGTTTATTGCCTGGTGTTTTTTTAAAATAATTTTCATATCCATATTTGTACTCTTCTCTTTCCCACTTAAATAAGTCCCTTCAACATTTCTTGTAGAACTTGTTTCTTGGTGATAAACTCCTTTAATTTTTGCTTGTCTGGGAAACTCTTTATCTCTCCTTTCATTCTGGATGATAACTTTGCTGGATAGACTATTCTTGGCTGTAGATTTTTTCCTTTCAGCACTTTAAATAAGTCGTCCCACTCTCTTCTAGCCTGTAGGGTTTTGGCTGAGAAGTTGCTGATAGCCTTATGGGCTTTCCTTTTTATGTCACTTGTTGCCTTTCTCTTGCAGTTATCTGGATTCTCTCTTTCTCTTTAATTTTGGGCATTTTAATTATAGTGTATCTTGGTGTGGGACTCTTTGGATTTATCTTATCTGGTGCTGTCTGTGCTTCCTGTATTTGGATGTCTGTTTCCTTCCTTAGGTTAGAAAAGTTTTCAGCTATTATTACTTCAAATAGATTCTCTGCCCCTTTGTCTCTCTCTTCTCATTCTGGGACACCTATGATATGAATGTTAGTGCACTTGATGTTGGCCCAGAGTTCCCTTAGACTGTTCTCATTCTTTTAAATTCTTTTCTCTTTTATCCATTCAGCTTGGGTGATTTCCTCTAGTCTTTCGTCCAGCTCACTGATCCAGTCTTCTGTATCATCTGCTCTGCTATTGAGTCCCTCAGGTGAATTTTTCATTTCCAGTATTGTATTCTTCATTTCTGATTGGTTCTTTTTTATATTTTCCAATTCTTTGTTGACATTCTCACTGTGTTCATCCAGTCTTTCCCCAATATCAGTGAGCATCCTTATGAGTTTTTGTTTGAACTCCTTTTCAGGTAGATTGCTTATTTCTGTTTCATTTAGTTCTTTTTATGAGGTTTTGTTCTGTTCCCTTGCTTGGAATATATTCCTTTTCCTCCTCATTATACCTCTTTTTCTGTGCTTATATCTGTGTATTAGATGAGTCAGCTGTGTCTCGTGTTCTTGGAGAAGTGGCCTTATGCAAGAGATGCCTTTTGAGTCCCAGCAGTGTGTTTCCTTTTCTTCAGCAGTCAAGATGTTCCAGGAGTGACCCTTGTGTTGGCTATGTGTGTCCTTCTGCTGCCACAGAGTTTCTCTTACTGCAGCTACCCAGGGAGTCTAGGCTTTCCCTCCCTGGGTGACTGTTTGTAAATCAGGTTTGAGGAGCCCCAGACTGATGGCTACAAGGTCTAATAGCACCTTCCTGTTGCTGTTTTCCTGTTAAATGAATAGGCACCCAGTGTAGCTTGTTGCAAGGCTCAGGGACTTACTGTTGTTGTAGGCCTCAGGCCTGCAAGGCTGTTGTCAGCTCTCATAGGATTGCAGCTGAGTGGGGCTGGCCCCAGGCACAGGAACACCTAATTGTTTCAGGCTTTGGAAGGTGGGGCTGATCCCCTTTGTGGCTGTTTGTGAAGCACAGGTCTTCTGCCACTGATAAGCCCCACTCCCCACAGGTCCACACACACCGTCAACACAGTCCTGGCCCTTGCACACTTCCAGACCCCCTGAAGAGTTGCCCCACTGCAGAGGCCCCTACCTTTCCACCAACAGTCCCCACAGTTCACCTGGTCCTCACACATGCCCTGCCCCACAGAGGCAGACACACTTGCCTGCCTGTAGAGGATCCAGGCACCCAGTCTATGCAGACTGAAAAGTTGCCCAAGGATGTGCTGTTGGGTGGGGCCAGTCCCTAGGGTGGGCTGCCTGTCCTGGCTTAACTGGATTAAATCTGTGCTCTGGTGGTGTGGCAGACCCCAGGGCTAACAGGCCTGGGGAATAACTCCAAAAGTGTCTGCCAGTGTAGGTGTCAGCATGCCTGAACTAGGTCACAGCAATGGTCGCCACCAACGTCTCAGTCTCCTGAGAGGTCTCACTTCTCAGTGAGATGGGCCCAGAGCCTACCAGGTGAGTCTCTTTTCATCAAAGGACTGTGCACCTTGCTTTCTGGTGATTTTATGTTGCTCTGAGATGGGTGAATTTCTGCATGGACCCTTTAAGAGTTGGGTTTATTCCACTTATGTCAATAGCTTTTCTGGAGTTATTCCTCATTGTAGTTAACAGCCAGTGAAGCTAGACAGTAGATCACTCGTCTCAGTTGTGCTGAGCCTGAAGGATGCTTATAGCAGTAAAGTGCCCCTACTCAGGTCCCCACTTCTCCAGGGAGGACTGCATACCTTAGGATGGCTTCTGCCCGGCTGACTATGAAACTCCACCATTTGTGAAGGTGGCTTTCTTCTCTCCAGAAGGAATTTCTGCCTCTTCCACCTCAGGCAGGATTGTCCCTTGTTGTGGGGGTTCTTTTTATTCCAGTTTTCAGTTCTCTCTCTGGGGTTATTTTTCCAAGAATAGTTGTAACCTGGTCATGTTCATGGGAAGAGGTGAGTTCAGAGTCTGCCTACACCACCACCTTAATGAGATCTCTGCCACAACTATCCTTTTAATTCCCAAATTCTCTCTCTCATTCCTAATACTTGCTTAAGTTTTGATTCAGTTAAAAATATCTTCATTCATTCATTCTTACATGCCTGCATTCATTCATTCAATACATAATTTATTGAGTACATGTTTTGTACCAGTTTAGTGGTTAAAACTGGGTCTTTGGAGATAGACAAATTTGGTTTGGATTTCCCTTTATGGACATGCAAGCTGCATGCAAGATGTGTAGCTTCAGGCAAATTCTTTGATGTCTCTATGCTTCAGGTTTCTTTAAACTATACAATGAGGATAATAACAGAATCTCCCTCGGTGATGTTGTGAGGGCAGGCCACACAAGCAAACTGATTAGTGTAGAGCTCATGTGCAACAAGAGCTCAATGTTTGCAAGAATTGTTGTTATATTATTAATGTGGTTATTATTATTAGGTAAATGGCAAACTTTGTGCCAGGTGATATGCAGAATACCTAAAAATGTGTAACACACAGACTTGCTTCTAAGGAGAAAATTAGTAAATTCCTATTGATTGGTTGTTTTTCCTAAAATTGGAGACTTCTGCCTCAGAGCCTCAGATGCCACTGCTCTCTTTTGTTATAATCATTGTAAGCACTTTTGAAACACAAGAGAGAAGTTAGAAACCTATTTCTACCATGGTTTTTGGATAACAGGCCAGTTTCTTGTTATCTTTTTCACTATGCAGCTGAGATACATACAGAGACCCAAACCTCAATTTCATATTGACTGAAACAAAATGAATTCAAGACTCTAAATTTTCCTGGGGGTGGGAGGTGTTGTGAGAGCTGGGAAGTGACACAAGTCAAAGGATGTCCCCAGGAAAATACCAATATCTTGTCTACAGCTTTGGATTTTAAATGCTCTGTGGCAGCTAAGAATCAATTTAATGGCTTAAGAATTCCAGTTCAGATTAAATCCTCTGAGAGGCTGCTGCTTTCAGAGTCCTCCTTGCTGGTCATCAGACGCCCTGGGACTGGGGAGATTTTGGTTGCTTGTTTGGGGGAAATCCCCATGAAGTCCAGCTCTGTTTTCATGGAGCTTTCCAAAATGTGATCACTTTGAGATACATGAGACAGGATTGGATCCTCCATCCCATTTTAGAGATGGCCAGACTAGAAGCCAGAGAACTGGTTAGTGGCCAAGTGGACACCAGAAAGGACTCTGATCTGGGACATGAACCCAGATGTCCTGACCCTAAGCCCACCACACTGCAAACTGCCTTTTCAAGGGTATAATATGTGAAAGAAAACCAGAGCTGGACAGTAGGTAAAGAGATAAAAACAGATTTTATTCAGGAAGTACTGTGATAGGGGAGAAGAGAGCTCAGTATAGTACTGGGCTCAGTTCTGAACACAGCAAAGGTGAGTGGGGATTTGTAGCCAAGAAGCAGGGTCAGGGTTGGGGGTGGTGGCTTGGAAATTACTAAGGGGAAACATTAGAACTGGGGAGATTCTTGCTAAGCTGACTCGACAGGATTCTTGCTGAAGGCAGGCCAAGGAGACTAGACATCACCCAGGGGATGATAAGGCAGGAATTTGATCAGATATCAAGGCTGATCTGATATCAAGCGTGGGAGATTCTTGTTAAAATGACTTAGCAGGATTTTTGCTAAAACTGGACTTTGCAAAAATGGACACAGAAGTGCAAGGTCTCAAGCCCTAGTTGAGAAGAAGGGTTCAGAGGAGCCCGACTAAAGTTTGGTCTTAGAGAGAGTCGTTGTCAAAGGCAGCTCCACTACCCTGCAGGAAGGTCTGCAGAGGCCACAGTCTCCCTCTACCCGACCTGGTCAATTTTCTGGCCCAACAATCCTTCCTCTCCCTAGCTGTTCCAGAAGGGGCAAGGATTGGGATAGAAAAATAGTGGGAAAGTATTGGGGAAGGGAAGACTATTTCAGGATTTCTGTGAAAAACATGTGCTATGGACATTGCTTCTTCTTCCCAAAAACACCTGTATTACTTCCACCCAGGTTCCATGCCATGGTCGATTCTTCTACATCACACTTGGGGTTTATCAAATCTGTAATCCTGTTTCTGAGGAACCGTAATTTTGATGGGCTGGATATAAGCTGGATTTACCCAGATGTGAAGGATAACACTGATTTCACTGTGCTGATTCATGTAAGCCAAACTCCACCGTACACTCAGTACCTTTAACAAGCAGAACCCATGGTCACACCAGGAGAAAAAAGGAAGAGACTGGCTCTGGTTGGAAGACACAGCCCTCACTTTCCAAAAGCCCCCACTGATGGAGGAAAAGCTCCTGGTCCTAATTTACAGCAAGGACAACATCAAAGAATAGAGCCTCCTTACACAATAAACAAATACCACCAAAACAAAGCAACATCCATATAAAAGAGTATGGGGCCATAGAATTTCCTGAGTACTGAGACAGCTTCATAGAAGTTCTATCAGCTAGACCAGACAATCTATCAGGAGGAAACCTAGATGGTTCCTTCCTGGTGGAGTGAGGTTGGGTCTCCTCCTGCCCGATATGAAGAGTTGCTGAGCAGATACAGGCACGAGGCATCCTCATGTGGGAATGGGAAGGAAAGAGTTAATCTCTTCCATCTAACGTGGTCCTAGAAACATCATAGATCTCAGGCAAGAACCTTAGCATTGTACTCTGAGAGGGGGAATCTGACTCCTTGTTTCCTTGTTTTTCATAGGAGTTAGCAGAAGCCTTTCAGAAGGACTTTGTAAAATCCACTAGAGAAAGGCTTCTCTTGACTGCAGGAGTGTCTTCAGGGAGGCAGATGATTGATAACAGCTATCAGATCAAGAAATTGGCAAAGTGAGTACATTGGAGCACCTCCTCCATCCCTCTGCCTCCCTCCTAGTCCATGTGAGTGATGCGTGTCAGTATGTCTGAGGAATGAAGGGAGGAGGGAATCGTGAGAGTCACTGTCCTAACCACATCATGCATACAGGAACTTCTCCTTTATGGATAATTTCAATACTTCTAACAGCATCCAAAGCCCAAAATAAATATGTATAATTGCTTCTACCTCTGTTCATCACAGAATCTCTTCCTTTGCTTTTGGCACTCTGGATTTCATCAACCTCCTGTCGTTTGACTTCCATGGGTCTTTGGAAAAGCCCCTCATCACTGGCCACAACAGCCCTCTGAGAAAGGGGCAGCTAGACAGAGGGATGAGCTCCCACTACAATGTGGTGAGTCATCCGGAAGAAGTGTGGTGGGATGCTGGCTGTGGGGAGGGGCCAAGGAGAACTCAACACTTCCAGAGTGACTTCTGTCTTAAACTGTGGAGGAGATATATGCCCAACAGGTACTTGGGGAAGCCTGGGAGCTAGTGAGAACAGGGGAAATGCTTTGACTAGGCTCCTGGAAAATGTCAGAAGGCCTGGTAGTTGAAGTGCCCTGAGCTGTCTCTGGCCCATAGTGGGAACAGTACTGTTCAAAACAGTCCTGTGAGGTTGGCTGTTCAGGAAGTGTTACTCTCACTTCACAGATGATGAAATGGAAGCCCAGAAAATTCAGTGACCATTCACAGTTGTGTTTATGAGAAGGTCTTGAAAAGTGGTGAAAAATGGAAAGTCCAAGAAAAAAAATTTTATCAATAAAAAAATGTGTTGGTGGTGTTCTGATACATATATATGGATATGTATTCCTAAAATTTGGGGAGAAAAAAATGTTGTCTGGGTTGCATATTTCCAGGCCTTCACATTTAAAGTTACTAAACTGGTCAGTCCAAAGCTGGGTCTTCTGATTTCCCATCTGGGGTTTTCCAGGTCACCACATGATCGAGTCACACCAGCTTCCTTCACTCCTTCCTCTCTCTCAGCTGTCTTTAAGGATGAGACATATCCTTATCTTCTCTAACCCCTTATTTTGTTCTGGAGGGCAGTAAAGCCCAAACTAGCCTCTTACTTCCCAACCTGGCCCTTTGGATCTGATGTCATTGTGAGGACTCGCAGTCAAGGATTCTGACAGCCACCTTGCCCCCACCTTTGTCAGTAAGCACAGTTAATCATAGTGTGGACAAATTACATAAGCAATTGACTCAAAGGGGAAAGAAAGAGGGTGACAACCTTGGTTTCATGTTTTCTAGGTCGCTTGCCTGATTTCTTTTGTGATCAACTGTCTAGTTTGTTTTCATGACTAGAAAAAGCTGAATTAGTCTCTTACTGTTGAAGAGCATTTAGTGCATTAGAATAAGCACTCTGGTTCTGGTGGGACTGTCCACACTCCACCAATGTAGAAAAGGATTCAAAGAGTTGTCTCTGTGAAGTTTGGGATGGTGGTTAAGAAAGGCCTGACACCTTACTTTCCCCCACACACTGGGCCTCAGCCTATCTTCTCTTCCTAGGAATACGCTGTGGGTTACTGGTTAAACAAGGGAATGCCTGCAGAGAAGATGGTCATGGGCATCCCCATGTATGGATGGTCCTTCACACTAGCCTCTGCAGAAACTGCCTTGGGGGCCCCTGCCACTGGGCCTGGAGCTGCTGGGCCTGGAGCTGCTGGCCCCATCACCAAGTCTTCAGGCTTCCTGGCCTATTACGAGGTACCTGGAACCTCACTGTGCCCTCAGCTGCCCCCTGTCTCTGGGTAGGGGTTCCAGCTTCAATCTAACAATAACAGAGTAATGCATCCTGAGTGCTGTGAAGGGAAGTACAGAGAAGTATTGGAACATATAAGAGGAGCTCCTAACTCTGACTTAGGAGGAGGTCAGGGAATGCTTCCTGGAGGAAGTGATATTAGCTAAAATCTGAAGAGGAGATTGGGGATGGGTAGAAGAAGGCATGAGAGACTGTCGCAGGTTTTTGACTTGGTCAACAAAGTGGATGGCAATGCCGTTTGTTGTAGGAAAGACAGGAGAAGGAGCAGAGTGGGCATTGGTCCTGATCATGAGATCAGTTTTGGAGATTCTGAGTTTGAGAAGCCCGTGGGACATCCAGATCCCTGTGGGACATATAAAAAAAGTGAGTGGTTTGGTATATAGGTTTGGATTACAAGAGGCCAGTCTATGCTAGAGATGTTGATTCTAAAATCAACAGCATAAAGATGGTATTTGAAGCCAAAGTATATGAGAGAAGTGGTTAGGGCCCAAGACAAAACCCAAGGACCTCCAGCACCTAAGGAACAGGCAGAGGGAAGAGGCGTCCACTAAGGAAACTGACGAGATCAACAAGGGAGGGCAGGAGGAACCCATACATTTTGTGCCAAAGAGCTTAGAGAAGCAAGTGTTTCAAGAAGGAGGGAGTGGGCAAATGTCTCAGATTCTGTCCTGAAGTCAGATAGACTTAGCATCATAGGGATAGCAATCAAAGTTGTCCAGCTGATTAGACTATCATTTCTTCCTGCCCCTCCCTCTGGGGAAATTGAGGGGGAAAAAGCATAGGGACGCCAGAAATCAAATAATAATTCCACCAACAGGAACTCTTGGGACACTTCCACATCCAAAACACTGGGTACTGTGGGAGCTAGAAATAAGTAATTTTCCATTCTTGTCTCAAAGCGTTTATCGTCAAGGTGGAAAGAATGTAGAATACAAATATAGCTAGTTAAACAACGGTTTAAAAACAAGATAACTATAATCGTTAACAAAATTACAGAAGTATTGCAAAACAAGATGTGATTAAGTGGCCAATGAGTGGTGTGGAGGGCCATGAATTCAGAAATGGTGACTGAGGAAGGCTCCATAGAATAGGAGAGATATGTGCTGGGCCTTGAAGGATGGGTAGGAGTTTGATCAGGTACAGGATAGAATATTATCTTACATCCTAGTCACCCCTTGGAGCCCTAGCCTGACTCCTTGTGAGTGTGGGCGCGCCATGAGCCCATATTGAGTGACTTGACATCCACGGAGGTACTTAATCAGTGTAACGCTCAATTTTTCCCCTCACCTCTCACAGGAATGATTGAGGCAACCATCGGTGCAGTTGGCAAGGGGATATAGAATGGGTCATCATGAGCGTCCTCACTGAATCTCAGGGTGCCTGACATTGAAGGAAGAGAGAGAAGCTGACCCATCCTTGGGTAGCTCTAGTTTAATAGCAACAATACTCTTTTTTTTTTAATTTTTAATTTTTGTTGCACTAATATAGGATTATAACATTATATAACTTTCAGGTGTACATCATAATATATTTCGAATTCTGTGTAGATTACATCATGTTCACCACCCAAAAACTAATTATAATCCATCACCTCACATGTGTGCCTATTCACCCCTTCTGCCCTCCTCCCTCTCCCCTTGCCCTATGTTAACCATCAATTCAATCTCTGTTGCTATGTGTTTGTTTGTCGTTGTTTTTATCTTCTGCTTATGAGTGAGATCATGTGGTATTTGATGTTCTCCCTCTGGCTTATTTCGTTTAGCATAATACCCACAAGGTCCATCCATGTTGTCACAAATGGCTGGATTTCATAATTTCTTATGGCTTAGTAGTATTCCATTGTGTATATGTACCACATCTTGTTTATCCATTCCTCCCTTGATGGGCCTCTAGGTTGATTCCAAGTCCTGGCTATTGTGTATAATGCCGCAATGAACATAGGGGTGCAAGTATCTTTATGCATTTGTGTTTTCAAGTTCTTTGGATAAATACCCATTAGTGGAATAACTGGATTATATGGTATATCTATTCTTAATTTTGTGAGGAAACTCTACTGCTTTCCATAGTGGCTGCACCAGTTTGCACTCCCACCAGCAGTGTATGTGGGTTCCCTTCTCTCCACATCCTCTCTGACACTTACTGTTTCCTGTCTTGTTAATTACAGCCATTCTGACCAGAGTGAGGTGATATCTCATTATAGTTTTGATTTTCATCTCCCTAATAGCTAATGATGTTGAACATCTTCTCATGTGCTTGTTGACCATTCACATATCTTCTTTGGGGAAATCTCTATTCAAATCTTTTGCCCATTTTTTAATTTGGGTTTTTGGTTTTTTTCGTTGTTGAGATGTATGAGTTCTTTGTATATTTTGGATATTAACCCCTTACCTGATATATGGTTTGCAAATATCTTCACCCAATTGTTAGGTTATCTTTTCATTTTGTTGATGGTTTCCTTTGCTATGCAGAAGCTTTTTAGTTTGATGTAGTCTCATTTTGTTCATTTTTTCTTTTGCTTCCCTTGCCCGGTCAGACATGGTACTTGAAAAAATGCTGGTAAGACTGATGTCAAAGAGCGTACTGCCTATGTTTTCTTCTAGTAGTTTCATGGTTTTGGGTCTTACATTCAAGTCTGTAGTCCATTTCAAGTTGATTTTTGTGTATGGAAGGAGTAAAATAATGGTCTACTTTCATTCTTTTGCATGTGGCTGTCCAGTTTTCCCAACACCATTTATTGAAGAGACTTTCCTTTCTCCATTGTATGTTCTTGGTTCCCTTGTTGAATGTTAGCTGTCCATAAATGTGTAGGTTTATTTTTGGGCTTTCAATTCTTACTAGCAACGATACTCAATATAAGGGATAGAGAGGGCATTGCTCACAATCTGCTGGTGGGTTTTTAACGTGGACCACTGGATACACACTCCCTCATCTCATGGAAAGTTTAATTTGATTGTTCGGTTTATCACTCTAGGTCATTATAACTTTGGCAAATTGATATTTGCTTAAATATTCAACTTTCCATTTTCCACCCTCATTGAGGCAAGCACGAGTGTAGATAATCCAAAAAGAGTGAGAAAGCCAAAAAGAATTTTCCATGTGACTTTGAAATGGTTTTTTTTGCTGGAGATTTATCTTTTTTAGTAGCTCTTACTTATGCTAACAGAAAGAGACTATAGCTGATGATAGAAGTGGGGATCCCAGGACAGGTGTATTGGGAATGGTAGGGGGCACAGAAGGAGTAATAGGATTGAATTGGGGATAAACTACAAGGTGGAGAATCATGGTGATGGTCCTCACAATACTATGTATTTATAGAGCACTTTACTGTTTTCAAGGTTCTTTTTTTTTTTTTTTTAACATGTATTAGTTCATTTGATCCCAACAGCAATATTGTAAGAAAGGTATATAAGAGATGTTATTATACTTACTTCCATTCTGCAAATGAAGAAATGGGAAGATTTACTGGTCAGTGCTGTGGTCTGACCTGGACCTCAAGTATTGTCTGCCCTCTAGCTGTGTGTGGCTCCTCCTAATGAGGCCTTAGCACAAAGAGTTCCCAATGGTTCACATTGGACCATCCATTTTGTATGTTGTATCAGGTCATTTCTCTCACTGTCTGAGTGAAATGGGATAAAGGTTCTGATATTGTTCCCAAGACCCTAGTGGCCTATCTGCCTTTTCTATCTCAATGGGTTTCAAGAAGAGCCCATAAATGACCTTCTTGCTCTCCCTTCCCCCACCAGATCTGCCAGTTCCTGCAGGAGCCAAGATCACGAGGCTCCAGGATCAGCAGGTTCCCTATGCAGTCTCAAGGGGAACCAGTGGGTGGGCTATGATGACATGAAGAGTGTGGAGACAAAGGTAGGTAGGCAAGAGGCTCTGGGACAAGAGAACACCCATTTGGGTGGGGAATGGGGTATGTGGTCAAATGCCTCAATACTCCCTTGAGTGAGAGAAACTCCTGGGCCCCTACTCTAGGATGAGATCCAGTGGCCTCTGTGGCCCAAGACTAGTAGTGACCCTAAGCCACCCCTTTGAGCACCTATGGTACAGACAGGAGAGATGGAATAGATTCAAGAAAGAATCGCGAACAAAGGGAGAAGTGAGGATTGGAGAGAAGAGAGGAGTGAGGAGAAGGGAGAAGGAATAAAGGAGACATTGGCACCTGCATAGAGCAGTTATCTACCTCATTGATCACCTCAGGACAAACGTCCTTCAGTCCTTCTTGTGGCTTACCTCTTTAGGAAGCTCTGGCTTTCTGAGCCTACCAGTTCTTAGACCTTGGTAAGACTTTTGTTTGCCTTCCAGGCTTAGAGCAGGAAGGAGGCGTCAGTGTAATTGACAACCCCAGGCCACTTGACTTGCTAGGGGCTTCCTAGTTTCTACTCCTCCTCCTGGGGAGTTTTCAGAGCCTCTAAGAATGCAGGACCTGGGGTGTGATGATTCCATGAGCCAGAATGAGAGGTGGTTAACAGTGGGTGGCCCTCTCTTGATCTCATTAGCCTTCCTGAGCAGCCCTTCCCTTCAAGGAGTCCCTATCTCCATAAGCTGTAAGTCTACTGCTGCTTTCTAAATTTAAACTGTCATCGGAACCTGACTTGGGTCATGGGCCTTTAAGGGCCTCTTCTAACCTCTGGATGTCCCTCTCTGCTTCCCACAGGTTCAGTTCCTAAAGAATTTAAACCTGGGAGGGGCCATGATCTGGTCTATTGACATGGATGACTTCACTGGGAAATCCTGCAGCCAGGGCCCCTACCCACTTGTCCAAGCTGTCAAGAGAAACCTTGGCTCCCTATGAAGGTAACTGAGTCCAGGACAGACTGGGGGTGGGAGGAGAGTTGGGAAGAACGGGACACAGGGACTCGGGGAGATCATCTTCACAGATTTGAACTGATCCTTTCTTATGCTCCTGTGGACCTTCTGCCTTGTTTATTGATTAGGCTGGTTCTGTCCTTTTGGTGGGCTTCCCATAGGCTTTTAAAATAATAACGATAATAATTTTGATTACCATTTATTGAGCGCAGTCTGAGCTAAGGGCTTTCTTTACAGGTATATTGGGGTAAACATTGACTCCATCATAATTCTTCATTACAAAACATCAGCCTGTCTTAATTTTTTAAATCAGAATAAACCTGATTCTATGCCCTTAACTCACTGGGTTGATGAGAAATCCAATCTCAACCATTACTAATGCGCCCTCTCCCACTCACAGCTGACCTTACTTTAGTCTAGAGGTTCGAGAGTCCCCATGGGCATCACTGATATGCTCTTATGCAAGCCTACCTAGTGCCTTAAAGGCAGGTGATTTGCCTGCTGCTCCATCCCTGGGTCCCAGGTTCCCCAGGTGCATCGTCTATCCTCTTGGGCAGGTGAGAGCTATTGCTGACCAACCAGTCATGCTGAGGTCCATCAGAGTGGAGGAGCAGAGGACTGGGGACCACTGCAGACAGACAACTGGAGAGGGTTGGCCATGCTGTCCTGGAGAAGGACCCAGAGCGGTTTGAAATTTCCTGGACTGGTTGATTGGGCAGCTCCCTTCCAGCTCTGAGCATCTATAGTTTAGTAACTTGTTTCAGGCCTCAGATTACTCACTTGGGCTTTAAAACATTCTTCCTCTTGTTTCCAGGCTTCACTTACAGCTGAACAGGCAAGGTGACCTCGCTGCCTGCTCCCTCTCCCGGAATTCTTGTGTGGGATTGTTAGAAGTTGGAAGGGGCCCTGCAGTCTCTTTCCTCCAAGCCTCCTCTTGACTTTCTCTCCGACTTCAGGCTGGGCTTAGCTTCATTCTCCCGCAGCTGCGGACTTGTTGCCCTGAGGCACAATAAAAAAAATCATTTTGCTCTCCCAAGTATGGGCTCATTTGTGCAATCCTTGACCCTGTGGTTTAAGGCTGTCCTGTCTTTATTTGTGGGGCCCAGGGCCAGGGTACAAACGGAGGCTTGCGTATCATAAGTTTAATGTTTAAAAGAGCTAACTGTTAAAGTATGATTTATACCCCTGAATTAACAAAAATGATTTCACAACAGCATAGAAGATCAGGCTTAACTTTACAATTCTCAGATTTCTCAGAATTCTGTACCAATATGTGGCAGCATGTGCCCTCGGCTCCCAGCTCACGGGTAACCCCCTTCTCTCTCTACCTTCAGCTCTGTCTCACAGAGCAGGGACCTCACACACACACTTGTGGACACCTTAGTTTTCACATCCAAGCTTCACTTACACCCCACCCCCACCTCCAATACACACACACACACACCCACACCCCCCACACAAAGATCTCCCGGGCCAGGCATGTGCACATCAGCCTTGCAATCCATAGTCAGGATGATGGGACCAGGGAAATGGCCTGTGCAAGCCCTGAAAGTGGGCACAGTCTATCTGGGCTATTTGGCAGGAATCCTGAGTAAATGAATCGCGGCTTAGAAGAGGAGGGATGTGAGCTCCAGGTAGATGTGCCCTTAGCCCTGCAGTCTCCGCACCTGATGGCACGGGGTGCAGCTGGAAGAGGACCAGAGTGGAACCATCAAAAGCAGGAGGCAGCAAAGTATGGCTGATAGGTCCAATCCAGCCCACTGACTGCTTTTGTAAATAAAATTTTATTGGAACACAGCTACGCCCAATTTGTTTATATCGCCTATGGCTGCTTTCTTCTACAGTGGCAGCGTAGAGAAGTTGCAACAGAGACAGCACGTCCTGTGAAGCCTAAAATATTACTCTCTGGCCCTTTACAGAAAAGTTTGCAATTCTTCCTCTAAACATAGTGCCCAAAGCAGGGAATAAGGCTGCTCAGGTTTAAGGCTGTTTCTGGGTTCAGACACACTAATTTCAGGATAAATTGTGTTTTTCTCCATTCTCTCAGTTCTCTTCTAATCCTTTTCTTCTAGAAAAGTGATTTTTTTCCTAAACTTTGAGCAACACTTTCACGGACATATTTAATCCCCACGGTTTAGGAGGGAGGTCAGATAAGCCCAAAGTGCAGAAGAGCTAAGGGGGGTCAGGGAATGTGAGGTCAGACAACTGAGTGGCGGCAGCACCGGAATTTCTGCAGAGGAGGGCCTTGGAGATGGCTACGTGATCTGAAGGAGAATGAGAGCGGGAATCCCAGGGGATTTATTTCAGAACTGCTATGAATATTCCCCTATGACTGAGGAAAATGCCAGATGTACATACCAAAGCGCAGGGGTGGCCGGCACAGCCAGACACTAGGGGAACTTAGGCCTCTAGTCCCGTGAAATGCTGCCCCAGTGTTTCTTCTCACTATAAGGTAGACATTGCTTGGGGCACCTCTCTGGTTTTCTGACTCTGGGTCAGTCCTTTGTTGCCTCTGGTCATCGTGTTCTCAAGAAGCCCATGAGCAGAGTAATTAAGAGCACAGTCTGGAGTCAGACTGCCTGGGGTCACATCCTGGATTTGTCACTAACTTACCAGCTGTGTGACCTTTGGAAAGTTGTTTACCTTCTCTGTGCCCCAGTTTTCTCATCTGTAAAATGGGGATAATAAGTGTACCTATCTTCCAGAGATATGAGTAGTAGGTAAGTTAATATCTGCACAGCACTTAGGCTAGTGCCTGACACATCACGAACATTATTTGTGTTTGTTGCTACTTTGATTATCATGGACAGCTGCCAACACATTAACCTTGGCCTTGCGTGGAGCCTAAGAGTCCATCAAAGATCTCTGTCTTGGAGTCCAAGCCCTGAACTCTGTGGAGCCCTCTCTCCTAACTGCTGTGAAGAGAGAACCATTCACTTTGCAAACGTCCAGGAGAAGATTCAGGAGACTAGGGCCTCTTATTTAGCTGAGATTGGAGAGGGACCCTTGTCAGCCTTTTTTTTTTCCCCTTGACGACCCCTTTCAGGGGAACTTTTAAGGCCAAGAGTCCTCTGCTGAAGAGGAACCACACGTGCACGTCGCATGGGGGTGTGTGGGTGGGAGGCAGCCGGGCATGGAACCCAGGCCCCAGACGCAGGCTTCTCTGCTTGGGTCACAGCTCTGCTACTTCTCAGTGTGATCTTCGGCAATTTACATAGTCTCCTTGTGCCTCAGTTTTCCTAATTTGTAAGATGGATGATGATAACAGCATCTGCCTCAAAGTGTTGTTTGGTGGATTAAATAAATTAATACATGTGAAGTACCTGGCACATTGTATGTGCTGAATGAATATTAGTTATTATTATTATTATTTTCAAGACTTGTTCAATTTTAGTTAGTCAATGCCTCAAGTTCCTGGCAGTCAATGACTGGTGCTCAGACAGAGGTCAACTGAGTCGAGGGCGTGGGAAGGATCAGGGGAGACTGTGGATAATAGACCCAGGAGGGTCATCAGCTCTTCATACTTGTAGGGAAGCCTGTAGAACCCATTCCTGTGTTCTCTGTGAATGCAGATTGCCCTTACATGGGTGTCAGTGTGAAGCTCCCAAGGGTCTGATCAGCATCTTTCAGAAGATCTTGAAAACTCACCTGGAAGATCTCTAAGTGGGAAGTATTGTCACACTTCCTGTCGCGTGTTCTGGGAGTGCAGCCAGCAATGCCAACTGTCCTAACTGGTACTTTAGCCAGGCTGGGTGGCTGTCCTGGGGCTGGTGTCAATGCCAAAGGTACAACCAGGCCCACTCTGCAGGAGAGTGGGCCACACCTTTCTCCTCTCTTGCCTTATTGGGCTGAGTGACCCTCTGATATTGCCTAGACACTTGTGATGTGGCATCATGGTGGGCTTCCTATAGATCCACCCCTCTCTGCATGGTAGTTAGGCTGGGAGTGGAGGGAGGCAGGTCCTACAACATTATGATTTTCAGAGCCTTGATCCATAGGCATTTTTGCAGCTGTCTCTTCTCTGATTTACATGGTTCCCTGGGGTCTTGTCCCAGGCCTTGCCACTTCTCCCTTCTGAACAAAGCCCAATTAGAAATGAATGCCCCCCTGAATTTCCTCCATCCTCTGTAAACCAGCAGCCTTCGATTAAACAGAAGCAACCTTGGAAAGTGATGTTTTCTCACTCCAATTCGGTAAAATCTCACAGACTTCTAGCCACTATCCGCTGTCTATTGCTACAATAGAATCAAAGAGTTGGAGGCTGGACAGGGCTACCTACCATGTCTGGATAGGCATAAATCCCCGCCAAATGTAAGCCTGACTTCCCTTGTCCGTACTCCTCCCCTAGGGCCCAGCTGATCTCTTTTGACACACAGGGCCCATTCTGACCTGTAATGACCTTGAACGCTAGACCAGCCTCATACCTGTGCCAGATATGCCATTTTCCTAAATGTATCTTCAGTCAACAACTTTTTAAGACTTTTCTCACTGAGTCCCCTTTGTGTCCTGGGGTTGATTACCCAAGAAGGAAAACAAACGAGATTCAGAAGGTAAACAGGAGCCATGTGCCCGCCCGCCCCTTTATTCCCAAGCTCCCACCCAGCCTGCAGAGGGGAGCCAGGTGCAGGATGGGGGGCCTGCAGTGCTCCCTATAAAAAGCTGTTGAGTGCCCATTCGGGCCTAGAACTCACATTTAGGACTTCCCATCAAAATGAGCAAATTGCTAATTCTTGGGGGTGAGTCTTTCCCAGGCAGCCAGTTGAACTTTCAGAGTAGCTGCTTTTTCTCCTCCATTCACTCTGCCTCCACCCCAACTCTCTGTGCTCCAAGGCCTCCTGCATTATCTCCTTCCTCTCTTGCAGCCTCCTTGGGTTCATAACACAGTGAAGAATTGGGGGAGGGAGGGAGGGAGGGAGGAAGGGAGATAGGGAAGGAAGGAAGGAAGAGAGGAAGCGGGGAGGGAGACAGGAAGGGAGGAAGAGGAGGAGGAAGGAAGGGCCCACTGAGCACCTGAGGGCTTCAGATGGGAGGGAAAATGGATAACTCTGATGAGCCAGGACAAGGCCATTTCTCCTCTGTAGATGATGGAAGACTTGGGTTAGCCCCTGCCATTCTAACGTTCTGTGATTCCCCCTCCCTGCCAGCCACAGAGCAGAAGCTCAATGCATAGACTTGACCAAGGATTAATCAACTAACAGGAGCAGTTAGTAGAAAAAATGAATGAGGCAGATGTTTTCCTGAATGTGTACTCTGGGGACAGGTGTGACGGGGCTGGGGACAGAGGCAGAAAAAGCCTTACAGAGCTAATGTCTCATCTTTCCAGCCAGTGTCCTCTCCAGTGTGCCATTGGATTGGAATTAAGGCAGGCAGCTGGGTGAAACTGAAACCACGAGCTCTTATTTCCAGCAAAGAGGGGTGGGGTGGAGAGTGTATCCCAGAAAAGAAAGGGAGAGAGGAAGGAGAGATGGGCTGAGCAAAGTGGGGCCCATCCAAGTGGTGATTGTTCCTCCTGCCCCAGGTTTGCTCCTTCCTGAAAGGAGCCACCGAGGCAGGGAACGCCCCCCAGGAGGTGCCCTGTGTCTACACGGGGAACCAGTGGATTGGGTATGCTAAACGCAAAAGCTTCACCCTCAAGGTAAGGTCCTCTACACCCTTCCTTTTGCAGAATTGAGAGAGAGAGGGAACCTGTCCCGCAAGTGCATTTGAGTTACAATCCCAGGAGACACCTAAGAGAGGTGAGGCAAGGTGAGGCAAGACCCAGAGAAGCCCTAAGGTCTCAGGGGGAGTCAATGGCCCCGCTGCAGAGTCTGGCATTTAGAGCAGCCCCTCTGCTACTCTGCAATTGCAGTTGCCTTCCTCCCTTCCCTCAGCACCTGCCCCTTCTCGTCCTGCCCTACTCCTGGAGACTCCCTTTTGGTCTTTTCCCCTGCTCTGCTCTGGTCCTGATCCAGTTCTCTGAGCAGGCATTCTTCCCCACTCCAAGGGCAACAGCGTAGATCAGAGTTTCTCCTTCTCCTGCTTACGGCAAATATATACAGGCTGAAGAGAAACCGGGAGGTGAGAGATCCTCTGGCCCATTAGGCTTGTGGCCACTGGCGTTCACATGCTCAGGTGTGGGTGGTTACCACTCACCAACCCTGGGGCCCTCCCATACTTCCCCATATGGGGCCCCATCTCTTTGCCCAGACAGACACTTGCTGTGTGAAGGGCCCTATATCTCTTATGACACTACAATCCACCCAAGCTTCAATTCAGACAAGCCTTCTCAGGAAATGGTTGGT